CCAGATTCTGAGGAAGAAAACGACTCCCCGACCGACATTCACTTTACACCCGATCTACTCGCCACGGTTGGTGGAGTTGATGTGGTTGCTCGTGGTGCAGTACCTGAAGCCGCGCTAGACGCAATGCGAGACAGTGGGTGGACGGAACCTCAGCTCTGTACGCCGTACCCGTATATGGATGAACCTTACGAGATGCGACCTGATGAGTGGATTCGAGAAGACTATCCTGGTATCTACGAAGGTGACCATGGACCTACTGCTGGAGCCCTCAATGCAGCGACTACGGTACTCGGTGCGTTCCTGCGATTAGTGACGCCACAGCTCTTGGAGAGGGTTGCTAGGGAGACGAACTCGTACTTCTACGAAAATTTGGATGCTCGTGTGGAATCACAGTATGTGAAACAACAAGCACGAAAAAAGAAAAAGCCAAGGTTCTCAATTCAAACTCCACAAGAAATTAAGGAGATACTGCAGAGGACACCTGACGTGTCGGGCAGAGAGTTGTGTATTTTTATTGGGCTGCTTATTGCGAGGACTATCGCACCCAACAAGGAAAAGTTTACCCACCACTGGAAGACGACAGATGAGGGAGCAATACCGAGAGGTTGCTTTGGGCAGTTCATGAAACGAGACCGCTTTGATCACATTTCACGCAATCTTCACTTCAGCAGCAATTCGGACCGTAGGGCAACTACAGACCGTGCATGGAAACTTCGCCCGGTGATTGATGTCCTACAAGAGACCTTCCAGCACAACTTCATTCCTCCAGCCGTCATGGCATTCGACGAGGCGATGCTACCGTCGATGTCGCCGTTCAACAAGATGCGCGTCTTCATGAGAGATAAACCCCATCGTTGGGGGACTAAACTCTTTATGTTGTGCTGTTCCTCGTCTGCGTATTGCATCCGGTATGTATGAGAGCGTGCTTTCGAGCACGCTCTCTTTTTTTTTTGGCTCCCAAGTTGTTTTATCGTGTCCGGGACATGCTAATGTATTGTGGTTATCGCGTATGTACAGATTTGAAGTGTATTGCGGAAAGAAAGAAATGAGCGATGGCACTACTCCTCCAGACACCAAGTCTGGTCCAGCTGCAGTTGTCCGTAACCTCCACCACGTGTTCGGAGCGTCAGGACCGTCGGATTTTCGCCTTGTAGTTACAGATCGGTTCTATACATCTGTGGTGCTCGCTATGCAACTACTGGCAATGAAGTGTTACAGTGTTGGAACTGTGATGCCGAACCGGAAGGCCCTCACCAAGTCAATCAACCCTCCAAAACGGGGTTCAAAGCCAACGAAAAAGCGACCTGAGAACATCGAGAGGGGAACATTCCAGATTGTGGAGTTGAAGCAGGTGCCCAGCATCAAATACGCTTGTTGGTGGGACAATCAGTGCGTGTTTGTTCTTGCAGCTGGTGGTAGCGCCGAAGTTGACAGGACCGTTCGGCGTGAAACATCTACCGGCGAGCAAACAGAGGTCATGTGCCCACGATTTGTGAAAGACTACCAGTCTTTCATGGGCGGGGTCGATGTGCATGACCAGCTTCGCCTACAAAGGTAAGTAGAGTTATTGTGTAGATACACCATAAGGGAATTTTGTTAACGTGTATTATCTGGTATGTTGTTTCAGATACTCTCTTCAACTGGCTCGACGTTACAAAAAATACTACAAGTCGTTGTTCCTTGGCCTTCTGGATCTCGCTATCGTGAACGCCTTCATTATCTACAATGCCCGCCGTACTTCTGAAGGAAAGAGCAAGACATCCCACGTAGTTTTCCTCAAGCAGCTTCACCTGGAGCTATGCCAACTTCGACCGGATGATTGGAACCAACTTTTGCGGAACCAAGGACTACAGCCTACACCTACAAAAACCAACCGCGAGCAACCAGCGCACGTACCTATACAAACGGATGAATGGAGAAAAGGCAATGGAAGCGAGACGCGGAAGCGCCGGCAGCGGGCCTGCAAGGTCTGTTCGGTCTTGAAACGCGCTGACCAAAGCCGTGGGGGTGAAACTACCTTCTACTGTGCTGTTTGTAAGTTGAATGCTTCCTCAACCCACGTCCTGGCGTCGCGCGTCTTCCTGTGCAACAAAGTGAAACACACAAGCAATGGAATAGCGACGTCGTGCTTCGAAATTTGGCACAAGCACTGGAAGTACGGTACAATGATACCTCAGGTGCAGCGAAAGCGCAAACTTCGCGCCCGAAAGCCTGCGCGCGTTCATGACGTTGAAGAAAGCGATGAAGGAAGTTCGGAAGCGGAATCGAACGACGAATCTGCAGCAGGAAGCCCATCCCAGACGCGGCAACGTACAGACGACTAGCAACTGGCTGCAAACTTTGTTTTGAACTGAGTATACGTATTTTTTCAGCAAAGCTTGCAGATCACCATCTGTACTTGAACTCTAAATTTCAACATATGCATGTACTGATTGCTCACCTGTTGTTATAATTATGTACGTCTGTCCTGCAGACTATGCGCAGTTCATACGCGATTATAACAGTATCGTGTATTGAGGACACACGTTTACATTCAGATACACGATAGTCTCTTTGCTTGAGAGCTAGGGATAGGGTGGTGTCCCGATTTTGAAAAAGACACGATAACAAATATATAGGTTTTAGTACTGAATCCCATCATAAAGATAAAATATATCGTGTATAGGGCTTCAGGTAATGAGCGCAACTCAGAGGCCTCGGGTTTGGGGGGTTAAGGTAAATCATCAATTTAGGGCCGTGGTGAACGAAATCCGCTTTGCTCGGCAACTATTAAGGATGAGAAACAAAATTTTACAGTTTCAGAAAGCTTATGATCAGGGCATTTTTATCAAATTTTTCCTGCCTTTGACCAATAGAAGCGATCGCACATGAAGCGAGCGCAAAAATCTGATTAGAATCAATTTAGGGCCGTAAATAATCTTGCTTTCAGTATCGACGGAATCAGCTGGTGATCAGTTCTGAGCCCAATCAAGACTAGGGTTAGTAACCTATTTATTTTTATATGAACTCATTAAGATAACTTTATAGAGTATACAAATGATAGCAGTGAAAATATGTGTATGTCTATACGACGGTGTAATCAGAGACTTCAAGTGCTGACAGCTCAGTCGTTTACACGTCTAGCTTATTGAGGGCCCATACTGGGAGCAGGGTTGTCGCGGGTTCGAGTCCCCTCGTTCCCGTTAATTCTCCGCACTGATATGGTAAGTGATTCTTTGGCATTGTGTAATAGTTGCAACTAACATTTTTTTGTCACATCTAGGAATTAACAACATCCGGGAGACCTACTTGGAGCAGTCGAGCCATCCTTTGTAGCTTGGACCTCTGGGATCTTGCGTGACATGGGGCGTTTCTTGCAGCTTTCAGCAGCGAGCTGCTGGAGGATATCTTGCATCAGTAGTCTACCACCCACTGTAATTCTCTTGCGCTTTGGTGTTTTCTTCTGCTTCGTGCGCAATGTTAGTACTTCAGCTTCAATTGTCGGCCTAATACGCAGCCACTTTGCAAGGTGTGCGTGACGGGGAGCTCCGTTTCTTTGGAAAATACCAAAGCGCTCGTACATACACACTAGCGATAGTGGAAATAAGCCGCAAGCTTTAAACCCGATCTTGAGGTTCCTGCCGATCTTGCTCGTCGCCCAAGCCATGTTGGAAAGCTTTATTGCCGTTAATTTGTCAATAGAATAGCGGCCTTTGTCATCTTCATCCACGACCTCCTTTATTAGGTTGCACAACTTCACCTTTAGTGTTGCGAATACTGCAACATCCAAAGGCTGTAATAGGTGTGTAGCATTAGGCGGCAGTAAAACCAAGAGAATACCGAGACGAGTCGCAGTCTCCACTACATCCTCAGAGTAGTGAGAGCTGCAGCCATCTAGCACCAGTAATAGGGGGCGTTTGATAGTACTAGGCACAGACTTATCCAAAAAGTGCAGCCATCTCTGAAACATGTACGTGTTGATAAACCCAGAGGGTGAAGTAGTAACAGCGGCGCTAGAAGCTCCATACTCATCCATAATGTCCCACTCCACGGTTTTGCCAGGTAGTATGTACATGGGAGGCACTACAAAGCCGGCGGAACTTCCACAAGCGACGATAGATAAGTGAAAGTTAACGGACGGATCCAAACACCACACATTCGACGATCCTCGCACAGCAATCACTTTCTTACTCTTCTTGCGCGTTTGAAACGCTGTTTCATCCATGTTGAAAATTCGAGAGCTGTCAAGGCGCAGCTCGATGATTAATTTAGCCAAAGAGTTGAACAGTGTCGTTAAATCACCTGTGACAACGCAATTCCGCTTCTCAGTTAAGGCCTGAGCCGCCCGGGTTGTCAAATCTGGATGTCGCTCTATAAAGCGTTGGTACCATCCCGGCCCAACGCTTTGACCAGCCACGAGCAGTGATACTTCTTGAGCCTTTTTCAGGATAACGGTTCGGTCGACGGGATACCCTACAATCTGGCGACCAACAACCCACTCGAAGATGTGGCGCTCCGCCTCTGGAGGGAGACGCGGTTTTGGGCCGCGACGACTTGGCTCTAGTGAGTTCTCTTTCTTGACCTTGGCTAACCACTTCCGAATCGTCCTATCTAGAATCCTTCTTTGGGTTGCGACGTCCGCAACCGTCGCTCCGCTGAGTATTTCGGCCACAACAGCGGTCTTGGTCTCAGTCGAGTAGTATGGGCGAGTGGTCGCCATGGGTGTTGCTTATTTAATTCAGAAGTGAACTGCAGTATGCTCGATTATAACGAAGGAGTGGATTGATTGGTACTGAGCAACTTCACTTTGGTTGGCAGCGTGTTCTTGGCGCTGAAAAAAATGGCGCCAACAGTTCCCGCCGTTTTGTATTAAGTTTTCAAGGTATTCGAACTTTGTGAAATATAGCCAATAGATCGCTAGTACGACGCGATATTTCATGTCATTGGCTGTAATTGTGACGGCCCAAAACTGGTTCACGGCCCTAAATTGATGATTTACCTTATGAAAATAGTCGCCTTCGTCGGTATTATTGATATCTAAGCTTTAACTAACGAGCAGGGCGAACCCGGGTCCCACAGTCCGCCCAAGCTAAAGAGCATTTCATCGCTGCCTATCATGTAATGAACGGATAGTAGGCGTGATGGAAGCCAACGAGGATGCTGCAGAAAAACACACATATTCTTAGAGGTGGAAGACGGAATCAGCAAAAGTGTAGAATGTTTATTGTACATGTATTAGGATTAGAGCAATCATTTTGGGCTCACTTATTTGATTTTTGTAAGACTACTGGTGGCCTTGCATTACGTCCGACCTTATTTTCAGTTTTGTATTAGAGCCCCCTTCATACATGTAGATTGACTTCCGCAAACTTCTCACCGTAACTATGCCTTTAAGGCGTCTGCGCTATATACTCTATAGTTCATATCTAAAAACACTTACGTGTACTAAGTCACAGTAGAAAAAAAGGCAAAAAGTATGATGGCCGTAGTTAATACTACTTTTATTCAGACCTTAATAAGGGTTTAATTCACTCTAAAACATAAATAAGGGTCGGGATGGTCCTGAATTGTGAATCATCCAAATTACGAACACCCCGTTATGGATGCCTTCGACTTCCTCGAGACCCTGCCGACAGCGACGCTGGAGCGTCTGTACCAGGACCCATGGGCATGCCAGGCCATTTTCCAAGCACTGCCGCCTCTTGCGCAGCAGTTTGTGATGCGTCTTCTCCCCACGAACGCTGCAGTGCCGCGTGAGCTGTTGGAGCAATGGGTCGTGCCCCTGCCCGGAGAAGCCAAGCGCATGCCGCCACAATTCCACGCCGCTTTGCAGAAGTTGGAGGGGCTTCGTGTGTTCGTACAGCAGGACGGGGGATATAGACCCCATCCAACCTTCCAGAAGCAGCTCATGGTGAGGAAATAGGCGAGTATTGTGTCCATTGCTGCCTGTCACGCTAACTGACTGCATGGGTTTGAACAGTACGCGCTGAGCAACTTAGGTGGGTCTCCATGGGAGCGCGGGCGGCTGCATCTTCCCAAGGATCCAGATAATACGTTCGCTGCTGTGGATCTGGAGCGGTATGCGAGGGCACGATGGGACTCGGTGCTGCACTACATGGTGGGGTCTACCGCCGTACAGGAGCCGCCCCAATCCGTGGTGGATATTCTGCTGCGTACAAAACTGCTGCAAGCCAGTGGGGCGGACTCCAGGGCTCTGCATATTACAGACACGGGCTACGAGTTCATGCTGAAGGACATCCACGTGCAGATGTGGATCTTTATGTTGGAGTATATCCGCACGCTGGATAACACGGGCACTCTGAAACAGGAGGATATTTTGCAGTTCCTATTCCAGATTAGCTACTGCCAGACTGGAGGATATTATGCAGTAGCGGATCTGACGGAGACGCAACGACTATTACTCGGAGATTTTATTGACTTCGGATTGCTGTTCCGGAAACGTCCGAATTCGGATCGCTTCTACACAACGAGTCTGGCTGTGAACCTCATTTTCGGTGGATCCACGGGACAGAAGCGCAGCCATGTCAGTCTCACGAGCCCTTTCGCTGGTGTGCGGGCTGGTATGAAGTCACAAGTTGCAGACCCGCGTCAGGCTCCGACAGTCGACCATGGCGCTCAGTTACTCGTGGTTGTGGAGACGAATTTCAAGATCTACGCGTACACTACGTCGACTCTGCATGTGGCAATGCTCAGTGTGTTTGTGGACATTGTGGCACGACTGCCAAACTTGGCCATTGGCTTTATCACTCGAGAAAGTCTGCGCTCAGCTCTGATCCACGGCATCTCGGCACAGCAGATCTACGACTTCTTGATGAAACATGCACATCCGAAGATGCGACACAACTCACCTGTGATCCCTGAAAATATTGCCGACCAGATCTACTTGTGGGAACGCGAGCGGAATCGCGTGCAGTTTATGGAGGGAATCCTATTCGACGGTTTCAACACCAAGGAAGACTATGAGAGCGTTCGCGACTATGCGAAGGGCCTCAAGGTGCTCACGTGGTCGGATCCCATCCACTTCAGACTGTCCATTGCTAATGCGGGTATTGACGATGTCCGTCACTACATCCAGAACCAGCTCTCGACTCGAGGATAGACTGCACACGGATAAAAGACAATGGACACGAAGTGAGGTTGCCAAGATGGGGTAACTTACTAATGAAGCACTGAAAATAATAGTTAGTGGCTCCAGGCTGTGATCTAGTCGATCAAAGCAAAGCTCCCTGTGCGTCCCGACGCACACAGTGGACCGGCCCTTGCTGTCTTGATGTCTATGCTAAGCATTCTTTCTCATTGTTTGAACTTTCGTCGGAGTAACGACTGCGAGGAGATGAAAGCAGCGATGAAGTTGACGACGTGGACGACGTGGAGTCGAATAGACGCTTGTAGATGGAACCGCAAAGCATAAGAACTGAAAACGAACAGAGCATATTTCTAATGTTAGTACTTCGTTTTGACTTTGGGATAAGGGAAGAGATGAATTCACCTTTTGTTGATGTTGATCCGACAGGCTTCTTTCCGTAGAGTTCTGTAAAGCACAAACAGAAGTAAAACATGTCAGTACCCTGCACCAACTGCAAAGATCGATAACCGTCAACGTACTTGATTCCTCTACCACCTCGTGGTGGAATGTAGAGTGCCCGCAAACGCAGCCAAAGTGGTTTGATCGCGTCGGATCTTGCTTGTCCTGTGGACAAGACTCCATCTTCTGCATTCGGTAGACGCAGCATCTTCCTGGTCGGCAGAGCTTGCACTTCCCTCGCAATCGTCCCTCAAGATCGCGCTTGAAAATTACGTGGTCGATGATATCCATCGGAACTCCTTTGAAAGTCGTTGTTTCCAGCACAGCATCAAGATTCGTTCGGACGTAGTCGGCGCAGATATCCAAGAGTGATGGGGGAGTGAGAGCTCCAATATCAATCGAGTACAGGTCCTGTAGTCTGTCTGTGCCATCGTATCCTCCCAACAAGTACATTTTGCTATCCACGACCACAGCTCGGTGGAATGTACGACTGCTCGGGATGCTCCCAGTCGTGCAAACTTCGCTCCACGTGTTCGTCACCAAGTCAAGACGCTGCAGGTCGTTGAAGCGACTGTGTGTCTTGTCAACACCTCCAAACACAAACATATTGTCACCAAAGATCACGGCAGTGTGGCGGTATCTGTGCGGCGGGCTGTTGCCGGTTGTCTCCATCTTCCTCCACTCATTGGTGACAAAGCTGTACTCGTACAGGTCATTGAGTGTGTCGCGTCCATCCCAGCCTCCGAAGACGATGAGTCGGTTGGTTTCTGAATGCACAACGCCGCTGTGACCAAAGCGTCTGGATGGGACGGCGCCCACGGCTTGCAGTCGGCTCCAGCGCTGTGCGTGAATGTCGTACCCACAGAGGTCGTTGAATCGGCTCGAGCCGTTGTAGCCTCCGAAAATATAAATACTGGAAGAGTGCAGCACCATTATGTGGTCGGTGCGGGCTTCTGGTCGATCTTCCACGACGCTGGGCATCTGGCTCCACCTCTGTTCGTCGAAGTTGAAGTAGTACAGATCGTTGAAGTAGTTGCCGTCACGGCCATCGTAGCCTCCAAAGATGAACATGTCGCTCTCGTGGACAACCCCCAGCGCCCCAGAGCGTCTCGGCGGGAGCGCACCGCGCGTCTGTACCTGGGACCACGTGCTCGTCTCGAGATCCAATTGGTACAAATCCTGTTGACGTCTTCTGCGGTCTGTGCCACCAAAGACGTACACTCGGCCATCTAGATTATGGACGAACCCAGGTTAGCGTTCATCCCCACAAACATTCTCTCATTTAGACGCAATGTACCTTTACTGGTGACAGTGTGGCCCGTGCGCGGGCTGTACACGTCTCCATGAGGATGCAGCTTCTCCCAGGAACGCACTTCGAGCCGACTGCCAGCAGTGGAGTTGCTAGTCGCTGTCTCCTTGGCTCGGTCTTCCTTCTTAGTGGCAGACGCCATTGTCACGGGAGTTACTGCCATATTTCTCTTAATCTGTAGCTCTGTGTGTGTAAGGTACAACCCAATGAGTCGGGTGTCGGGTCCAGTCTACGCAGCTCTCACTCGATTCGTAGAATGCCCAGCCAGCAGATCCCAGGCCTCGTGTCTTCTTGGCCAGCCTGGTGAGGAGTTTCCGGGCCGTTTCCTGCTTGAGCGCGCTTGCTGTTACCTGGCCGACTGCGGTGGTCGTTTCTTACTGCGCGCGCACGAATGCGGAATGCAGGAGTGAAGGTCACGAAGGTTTCCCTTTCGAGCCGGACGAGTGCGCACTGTGACCGCGCGCGTAGCTTGGCTTAGAATAGCAAATCCCACACTGAAGCGGTCTCGAGCGCGGTCGAAAGTGGCTTTCCGTTTTTCTTCTTTCTGTCTTTTCGAGCTGACCTATTTTACGGTACGGCGGAGGAGTGATGGTCACTTTCGAATAAACTTGCGCTCACTATGCCTCTGACTTGAAGTAGTCTGTGCCTCTTCATGGACGTGTGTACCACACTCTTGCCTTGACGCATCTGCGACGTGTGCACACTTGCAAATTGTAGGTCGATCCAGAACTCATGCCTGCAAGTGGACGACATCTTGCTCAACTCAGGCTGCCTAGGATCAGCGTTGCAGCCGCTCTGTTGGGCCGTTGGCGTTGTTCGTTGGGCGGCGTTTGCCATACTAACGCGCCTGGCTGTCCATCTGGGACAGCGAGCTGCGATGCAGCGAGGGTCTGGACTCATTGGCGCTAGATCCTGACATTTTTATCCTATGAATGCAGCAATAGCTGTGCATTCCAACATTTTTATCCTATGACCGCAAGAGCAATATCTGTGCAGGCCTCAGACGGGTAGAAAACGCCGGAATAACGGCGATAACGGCTCTGGGCAAGTTTAGTACCAAAGCGAGTCATTGACCGCTTTGTGGTGGTTATTTCTGGGCGGATCAGTAAACTGTACGACACACAACACAAAGCTATCAAAATTTAGGCGCAAGTAAACCCTAGCAGGTCTTATTATCCAAGAAATTCATCGGAAGATTCAAGTTTATCTCGAGTTTGTAATGTCAGGCTTTACAAGTACAAGGAAAACTGAAATAAAAACAGATACTTCGAAGCTGACATCATCCTTCATCAGAATACGGTTTGTGTATTAGGCCTAAATGAAAATATCCATATATTGCAGTAATTCTGTGAGTTCTAGTCGACATTTCCGAGCTAACCGATCCACCACCCATTTCGCCGATTCGTAACCCCCCTTGAACTCAATATTTGCTGTTCTACATACGCGTCAGCTTGAGCGAACTCACTTTGCGCCTCTGTCTATTGCCAATTCACTTGAAAATGGCAAAGGTGGACCAGGACCACCAAGTTCATGTATTGTGCATTCGTAAACCCTTTGAAAGGCGAACTATGTACGCTATTCCATACCGGAAAGACCACAACACCACAACGATTTCATGCCTCAAGACACAAATATTTCAAGTGCTACAAGTGTCTATAAAGACCTTTTTTTTACAGATAGCACACTAATGTGTGCCAATTGGGAACGAATCGGAAAACTATATCCAATACTGTATCTTTGTAAAACTTATGAACAGCTGGGAATAAGGAATTCCTTGCACTCATTGAATCGACGACACCCATTGTAAATACTTCTATTAATTGCAACTACATAGTGATGTAACATCTACACTTTCCACCAACGCTGTGGTTGGAAACAACGTGAGCGCCATTACTTCAAAGAACAAAAAATGGATGGTAGCTTTTTTCTTTTAAAAAATGTTAGTATTTTTCATTTTTAGAAGTACGCTACATCCATACTTTTGTTTTAAGAGTACCAAGTATCGCGTATTTTGAGTGCGATATCGATGTGTTCGGTAGTGCAGCAAAGCAAAAACTCATGGCAAAACTTCGTGGAACACAACGATTCCAAATGGAAACAAGGTCACTAGTACAAGAAAAAACGACGGCGGTCACTGTTCCAACCCACATCTGATACGATCCTCTTAGAACTCAGGCTTCACGGCTTTAACAAATGTAAGACTTACGTCCGCCCGAACGAAAAAGAAAACGAACGGTAAGAGACGATCATCGAAGATGTCGTAGTTAATTATCCGTTATACGAAATCATTTCCAAAACAACAATAAAACAAACTACAAGGGTTCTGGTGATCTCATCAAATAACCAAAGCAGTCATACTAATGCTACACCGCTTATCCGAACTTGACGAGGTGGACATATTCTCCTAGACGCTCTGCACAACTTACCTTTCTAAAACTGAATAAAAGCTGTGAAGAAAATATCAGCAGCTTATCTTGCAGAGCTTATTTGGCAGCTTCGAAGTAGTCGACGAGGACATTGTTAACAAACAACCATTACTAAAACAGAAGCCGACACCTCAGACAACTTATGGCCGTATCAACATATTCTCTCAACCACTGACCTTTCAATACGTTTAGGTGCGGCATTAAGTCGTTCGCCGTTAAGTAGGGCTGAACCCGGAGCGAATCGCTCCGGGAGCGATTCTAGCAGACAGGGATTGATAGTACCTTTGAAAAAGAGTAGTATCGTAGTGATTAGTGACAGTAGTTTTGATCGACACCCCAAATAATGCTACAAGCAGATAGTAGCTTATAATGTGAGCGAGTTGTACTATACAACTACTACTCAATTACTGTCTGGAAGAAATCGTTGGTGGCTTCGCCCTACTGAACAGAAGTTCCACTGAAAATTGAGCTCTTGTTTGGTTCAAAGAGACATATATCGGGAATGGTGTGCCATGCTTTCGATAGATAGCCTCACGAGGAGCTCATACGTTCCGCACGTTGTGTTACCACCGCGTCGATTGCAGCGTATTCGAAGAAGCTCAACTGATCCAAGCTCAAGACTCTCCGAAGCGGGCCAAAATAAGCTGCCCCTATAAAGAGCTTTTCACAACCGATTCGTGCGCCACTTATGGTAGTGAAGTACTGCCACCACCTCTGCATTAATGAGCTATATTATATGGGTCGGTCACATGCTCAGCGCATCTACAAGCGGAAACCCGTAATCTTCCGCGCTTCAATTTCGTTGAAGCTCACGAACAAGCGCATTACCGCCATATTTTTGAGGAGATTTATGTAAATATCCGATATTCTTTATATATATATACGTATCTGATGGTCAACAATAGTACTATTTTAGAACTATAGTTCTTCCTAATCTACTGTAATAGGATATTGTATCAAATTCGCTAAAATGAGTTTACTATTAGTTAAGACTCCTCCGCATACTATTACTCCCTGCTTGATTCCTCAACTGCTATCCTTTCTCAGAGTTTGACTTGGAATCTGAACTGGTGCGCCCTCTTTCAGATTTATTCTTGTGAGAAAGCGCATTTTGGACATCCCTGACTGCTGCGGGAATTGCTCCAGTATGAGCGTCATGTTAATATTTAAAAAATAGGAGATATCGACAGTCCCAGTGCTAACCATGATAACCCCCAATGAAGCGTAAATCAAATAATGCTTGGTATTGAATGCACGCCCGCAAACTATCAACATGGGTTTTAAACCTACTCCTTTGCGTCGGCTTTGAGCAGCGAGACGGGATTGGACGGGGTTTGAATCTCCAGACCCTGTCGGTCAATTGGTCTTGATCGGTCGCCACTCTGACGATAATGTGGTCGTTTCACAAACCTCGTCAATGCCTCTTCAAGGATACCAGGATGGTAGGACTGCTTCGCAGTTTTAATGTGAAATCTAGATGGGATACCATCCAACCAATTAGCCGTTATAAAAGCAGATTCGATCTAATATCGATGCTCGGGCGAGAAGCTGATCGGCGGGCAGCGGTAGGCTGCCTTTGACGCCTCTACATTCCCTCTGGCGCCCTGACTTGGACAAAATTTAATCTAAGATTTGAGATTAGATTCTACGAGGAGAACTCTATCACAAGTAATTTGAGATTAGATTCTATCGGTAAGCATCTTTTCAGACCAGGATGTGCATCGAGAGCCAAAGGATGTGTGGCCCACAGCACGCTCATGGATTCGTGTAGCATAAACAATTTTTCTTTTGGACTCTCGTCTACGTGTGCACGTTTGATAACAGTAACTGCTCAAGGAAACACGTCCTACATTTAAGAATTGCATGGTTTATTCCTGTCATACATGTAATCCATCGGCAAATTGGTGCGACTACAGGGATTAATCGTTCACGACGGTGAAGCTCATGGAGATATTGTTGAGAACCTCGGGATAGCACGCCAGTATACTGACCATTTCACAAAAAAAATATATTCAGTCCGAGTAAATACTTCGTTTCCTAAGAGCATTACAAAAGCTTTGAGATCAACACGATTCCAGACCGAGTCGCACGGTGGGGACAGCTTGTGGATCTGAAAAATTACCGCCTCGACAAATCTCGCAAAAGCAATATTTTCTTACCTCTAAACAAACATAATGATAGGATGGCCTTCGCACCTAGAATCACTTAAGCATCTCTGCATTATGTCTCTTCCAGAAGGTTCAAATCATTATTATTATTGACCAGAGGGTTTTAGGCGTATGACAACATTGGTCTCCACCGCAAGGAAGACTACTACCGACAGTGTTTCATTAAAAGGTGAAAGTTAGCAAAGCTGCCGGGGTCTTATAGCTCCGCTCTCTGTAATCTGCTTTCTATAACCTCCTCATTTCGGCTGCAGACAGCAGTGCAGCCTGTCACCTAGACTGGGGTATGCTTACTGGGGGGATTGCGTGCAGCTGACCATCGGTCCCACTCTGAAAAGTCTCAGCCAATAGAGAATCCAGGCGGGGGTAAAAAGAGGGAGCCGCGCTTGAACCTGACCCTGCTTCTGCACCGCGGCATACAAACACCAAGTCATTTTGGACTCTCCCACCTCTTGGCGCCCCAACGAGAGTTCGATAGACGCTCAGATAGACAGTCGCAAAAGAACGCCCAAGCACGCGGAACCGAAGGTGGCGAAAGGAGCAGATCCACCCTTCCCTCTCAGCGCGGCAGGGTAGAAGACGAAAGAGGACCACAGAACGCTTACACACAGCAGATATCATGGGGTTCAGGACACTCGGCGTACTCCTGGCGACGCTGTGCGTGATGACGTCAGCGCTCGTCTCGGCGAACGACATGGCGACGAACAGCAGCGCGAGCACCAGTATCGCCTCGAGCGGCAGCGGCAGCGAGACTGTGGCGCAGCTGCTGGCAGAGGTGCAGGCCGCCGTGGCGGACGATCCCGCGCTCGCCAACATGTTTGACATCTCGAGTGCCAGCCAGATGAGCGAGGAGGAGCTCAGGACGCTGCTGCAGGACATCCTTGACGTCAGTTTGAGCAGCAGCTCCGGCTCCAGCTCGAACAGCTCCAGTTCCAGTTCGACGGCTTCTGCGTCGGCAGAATCCACCCAAAGCGCGTCAGCAGCTGGCTCGACGGTATCTAGCGCTGCGACGGTCACGCTATCGACGGCATTCGCGGTCCTGGTAGCGGTGGCTGCACTTGGTGCTACATTGTAGGCAAGCAGCATGACAGGGAATTGCGGGGTCGGGAAAGGGGCGATCAGGCAGAGGAAATTTTGCTGACAAGCACTACAGCCGGCGACCTAGTCCGACTGATATTTTATTCATCGACACACAACACAAGACAGCTCATCGTAACCGTGAGAAGTGGGAAAAGCTCGTTCGGGCCTCTAATGACATTTTAACTTTGTATTTCTTCGAACTGCTTGATGGAGATATTGTGTAGGTGCCTTTGTGAGTACTAAAGACCATGAATCATACGTGGGTGCTTCTGTTAAAGTCGTGGATCAAGCCGGTTAAGGTTTTCGTGTATCCTGCGGCTTAAGGACGCCCTGAAATTGCGCACACAAAAGTTAAAAAGTGAAAGTTTGTTTTGTCAGCCTTAGCTAATTGGTAGCCCTCTTACACTAACCATGGCGTCGATGTACCACAGTAGTACACAACGATACGTCTTTGCCGTTATTCTTCGACCGTACGTGACCTAGCACTAAGGGTAGTCGATCATTGGGATGCAGCGACAGGAAAGGAATACTTATGTAAAATGAAGTTCTAGGTGCGCTCGTTTTGGTCTGGGAGGACGTGGCTTCACCATTGGTGACTAGAGCGTAGGGTTGAAGAGGATATGTCCACAAACGCCAAAATTCAATAAGGAAAATCGGAGGTGCTGGCTCCCCGCGCCACCGATAGAACAAACGCCGATCCCGAGGAATCCTACACGTACATGTCATAGTTCCTCGCCTCGTTTTGGGCGTCGGCATGTTGATGCTGACCGCCATTGCAGCAGTTGAGTTGAAGTTGCAACTTGTTTATTATTCCTTTCTAGTGTGTTGATTTTTTTTATTTCATGTAATTCGCAGCAAAGTCCAAAACTTTGAGATGCGGTACTAAGTACTAAGCATGATTGACCCTTTCGTGAACACTGCATATTGACCTGCCTTTGTATGGTATACAAACCTAGCATACTTTCACATGAAAGGAGGCATTTAGCCTGCAAGCAGGTGCTGTAGTTAACGCACTCCACGCATCATCTGTAAGTCTCTAAACTATTTGTCGATATTCAGAAGCGCCAGTATGGAACGCAACGTGCTCTCATTGTCTGTGCCCGACGAGGAGGCCCCCCATGCAGGTGTGCTACTTCGTTCTAAAACCGGGTTGAGACTGCTTTGCTGCGAATATTCCACGTCGCACGACTGGCTTACATAGCGTAAGATACTAGAGAGCGCTGATTTTGGAGAAACACATGAATCTAAACAGGTGATCCGCCTCCTTAGGTAGCATCTTATCGTCTACAGCGTAGCAGGACTGTATTAGCTTATTTGGACGGTTCCTTTGACAAAATCAACGACGAGTTTGCAGCTAACAAAGAATAGTTCGGAATTGGAATAATGTGAACAACCTCTGTTCACGTTGATATTTTATTTCCCCGATATACGCTCTTAAACTCTCACGATCTGCAACTTCTGATACAGTCGTAGTGCTCAGTTTGCCGTGTTCTACTATCGCCGATTTGTAAATCAAAACGAGGATAGCATGGAGCAGGCATCCCGAAAAAAAAAATAATCTCGGAAAACTATTCATAATTGTGTATCAATAATTAATTTTAGGAAGTCGTATCTGTACCCGACATTTATGTTCAGCACTATAAAAATAAACAAAAATCAATAACTTATTTGCCCTCGTCCATCCCAACCCAGGGACCTTGTGACCATTCATCGCGCTTATTCCTTACTGAAAGCTCGCTATCGCATTTTCAAACTTGCTACCAACCTCCCAACTTCTCCCATCCTCCCAGTCGCCACGATGACCGACACCCTGCTCTCTGCGCCGCCCACAAGGCCCACCTTCTCGCCCAGGCAAATCGCCACCTTCTTCTTCTCGCCCTGCGCGGATAAAGAAGGTTTGCCAACGGGTGTGTATGCGTGCAAGTCTTGTGGGAGATGTCGCAAGCTCACACCGAAGACGGGTTACTCTAACCTGGTCTCGCATGTTCGGACAGCACACCCGGACTTCGAGAGCTCCATGCGTGACGCGACTGTGGCCTCGACGGGAACACTATTGCCGTGGGTGAGCCAAGAGGCATCCAACCGTTATGCCTGGCTGCGGTGGGTCATCATGGGCAACCTGCCGTTCTCATTTTGCGAGTCGAATGAGACCCGACGGTAAGTATTTTGGTATTTTACTTTAACATTGTATTTGAACTCTAATTGATTTTTTTTATTACGTAGGTATACAAACCTTAATCCCATCTTCGAGGAGACACTGACAGCTATCATGGAGGCTGTGACGAAGGCCGTGGAGAAGGCTATAGGGGACGAGATATCTAAGAACTTCGGTCTCGTTCTCGACGGTTGGACCCACGGTACGGAACACTATTTGACGGTCTATGCATGCTATGAAACCTCGGCGGGCTTGCAGCTCCCGCTTTTGTCGCTGGCCCCTGTGATGAACAACCCCAACAACTAAATGCTGAGAGCCATCTCACGGCAATCAAGCGATTTCTGCCTTTCTTTGGTAAGTCAGTGTCCGGCTGTCTATTTTTAGTCGGTGACAACTGCGCGGTAAACAAACGGGTGTCCGATTTGGTTGGTGTGCCGCTTGTCGGATGCTCAAGCCACCGACTAAACCTTGCCGTGCGGGACTTCTTGGAGCCCAGCGAGGACGATCTCGAGGGGGTACAGCTGCTTATGCGTAAACTCCGCACTCTTAAGCAAGCGGCGAACTTACGGTATGTTGAGAATCTGACTGTATGAGGCTTTTATGCCGTTATACTAATGTATGTGTAAACGTTTTGTAAATTTACAAAAATAGCACCAAAACACCACTCCGGGCGGTTTTACGACAAGATACGCGTTGGTCATCGACTTTTTCGATGCTGAAACGGTACTTTCGGATTCGAGAGTTTATTTCCGCCGACGATGACGAGCTCGCTGACTATCTGCCATCGCGGACAGCGCATCGGAAGCTTGCCGCGCTACTCGCCAGCCTGGAGGATTTGGAGTCAGTCTCCAAGCGTTTACAAACCAACGGGCTGACCTTGCTCGATGCGCTATATCTGCTTGACGGTCTGACGGAAATCCAGCCGTCATTTGCGAAGTACATCGGTAAGTTAGCAAGATTTTGCCTATTTCAACTTTTACTTGATTCTCCAACTGTTGTTTTGTGTGCTTGGTATAGCTCCCGACGCTAATATAGTTCATTAGCCCGACTTTGAGAAGGCTGTGGTAAACGTTTTGGCAG